CAGAAGCGCCCTGCAGCATCACATGATGAGAAGTCATCGGCTGAGAAAAGTACAGAGCGTGAACGGGCCGGTGCACTGTGATTTGTTCAATGTGGAGTTTTCTCTGGTCAGAAATTTGATTCTTACCCCAACTTTCCTCAGCAGCTCACCGACAATGTTCAGAGCCGAGATTCTCGTTGATGTGGTGAGAGGAGTGCCTGAAAGGCTTTCACCTGCAGAAACAAACCAGATTTTTGCATGAGAAATTTACATAAACAATTAAGCAACTGTCAAACTTGCTGTTAATTTGTCAGCATTTTATTTAAAATGAGACCAATGAAAATTAGTTTAAACTTATAAAAATCACAGGAACTAAACAAAGAAAATAGAAAATGTAGGTAAATTGCTGATTCAGAGTCGGAATCAGCTTCATTGGCCAGGTGTATTGGACACACGACTCTGGTAAAGCAGCTCTATATGTACAATGGGCTGGAGTCAAATTCCTTGTATTTTTGATGATGATTGCTTCTTCCATAAGGCAATAACAAAAAAGAAAATTGAATGTGTATTAGGAAAATAAAAATGAAGTACACACACACACACACACACATATACATATCAGAGGATCCCCAAATGCAGGTGTGAAAAACTTGTTGCATCATTCCCAAAAAGACTCATGGCTGTATTAGCTCAAAAGGTGCTTCTACTAAATACTGAGCAAAGGGTCTGAATACTTATGACCATGTGATATTTCAGTTTTTCTTTTTTAATAAATCTGCAAAAATGTCAACAATTCTGTGTTTTTCTGTCAATATGGGGTGCTGTGTGTACATTAATGAGGAAAAAAATGAACTTAAATGATTTTAGCATATGGCTGCAATATAACAAAGAGTGAAAAAATAAGGGTGTCTGAATACTTTCCGTACCCACTGTATATACAAAAGGTATATTAACATATTGCACTGAGGGTTGTCATTCTGTCTTGCAGTAGCACCATCCAGAGTTTAAGGCACAAACCCCACTTAAATAAGTTTGTCATTGATAAAAACCTGACAACGATCTTTGATTGATGCCAAATTCTGGCATAGTGAACGTGGCCCAGTAGGCAAAAAAAGGGGGTCTTTAAAAAGGGGTCGATGATGCTGGTGGAGGTTTGCTGGTGTTTACTGAAGACTATATAGTATAACTGCAATAACTGGTGGGAACTCATCAATATATTTATAACAGGGTATCTACAGACACTTTCAAATCTATTTCTTTTTAAGACTTCAACAAGAAATGTACAACTTCTCTACAACAAACTGTGCCTTAACCTCTAGAGTCCCTGCGTCCTCATATGAGGACCGCACAGCTTGGGTTTCCAAAGCTCAGGACTCTAGAGGTTAAGGACTGAATCATACATTTTCATTTCATCTAAACACCTGCACATAGATTTATATCACTCTGTTATACTCCAAGTCTTATTTACACAATTAATTTCAGATTCTAACCTTTTCATACAACAGTCTGATACATCATAGTAGCTAGTCTCAAAACCTACAATATAAACAGAACACAAGCACAAATAAGCCGTTGACTGTTGTTCAACTGTATTAAACTCTTTTTTTTCCCCCCCCACTGTTCCTCTCTATAACTACACAACAGTAAGTTAGGCGGACATGTACGCATCCCCAGTGGAAACTGGACTTTAAGATACTGGTCTAACAAGACAGCACCTGTGAACTGACCTCTGCTGATGGAGGGAGGTGGGGTGGTGAAGGGTTCTTCTGCAGCTGGAGGTCTGGATGGTGTGGTGGCAAGGGGGGCAGGCTGAGTAGAGAATGAAGATGTGGGTTTGTCCTCAGTCCTTTTGTCTGGAGGGGTGAGAGGTGGGGTGTGCAGTGCACCTGAGGATGAAGGCCCCTTGACTGCACTGCTGAGGGACGGCTTCCTCTCCTGTACCTGCTGTTTCTGCTGCACTGCCAGCTCCTGCCTTAGATCTAACACATGCACACACACAGAAACAGAGGAGAGCTACAGCCGTGCAACAGACACCTTTAACAAAATGTCACAAGCCTTCCAGCAGCCAGCCAGTAGAGCTGTCCATCCTACTTTATGCACTTTTTTTGAATGGTTCATGACTGTGCTCCAGCTTTTTTACACAAGTTTGCACTTTTTTTGAATGGTTCATGACTGAGCTTTTTACACAAGTCTACAAAATAATGAAGCAGTGAGGACCCAAATATAATTTGATATGGACTGAAATGACACCAATGTACTTCTTCACCCTCCTGGAAACATTTTATTTATAGTGAAGAGAAACCTCTAGGAATATAAACAGTCGTCATATCATATCACACGGCCAGTTCGTGATGACACAGGTTTTTGATACTGGCTTGAACTGAGGAGTGCTGACAGGGGATCACGCAGAACTCTACCTCTGGCCTCGTCCTTCAGTCTCTGGACAGACACCAACAGACTTTCTTTCTCATCCAGCTCACTCTCCAGGAAGGCATTCCTCTCTATAACCTGGTTCATCCTCTGCTCAAAGTCCTCCAGTGACATGATGGTCGCCCTGAGTCACACCAAGTGCAAGGAAAACAAACGGGGACATCAATATATGTCTGGAGGAATGATTCTGCATTTTGGGCAGACATTTTCATACTCAAAATTTTGAGCTGGTTTAATAAGAAAACCATACTGTGTGTTTTCAACCTGATTTATCAAGACAGCAGCTTGTTGCTCCTGAAAAGAGCCTGGGAAAAAATCTCTTCCTCAGGTGGAGGATATTGAATGATATAAATGTTACTATCTTTACAGTTTGTTTCGTATACTATTACTGAAAATTGAGACAAAGAAACCGCATGTCAAAGGACAAATGTATAACAAGATGCCCAAAATGTACACAATATACTGCAACCAGTTGAAAGAGATATAGCAGAGGAAAAGCAGCAGTTAAATGTGTTGGGAAAAACAAAACAAACAAAAAAAAAACCTTTGTTAATCTGGCCTCAATGTGCCCAAGTCTTCGTTTACCTCATCCAAATTGTTACAGCCCCTCCACTTCCTGCTTTTGCAGCAAACTGCAAGTAGAGTGGGTCCTGTAGTTACTATGGTGACACCTGTGTAAGTCTCAGCGGATACTGTTTAAGATGGCCTTCAGTGACTGCTCATTCCATCTTCCTCCTCTCTCCCTTGAGGATCCACATTGCCTGGGTTTGGGGTTTGTTTGATTTCCACACAACCACCCACACACTATTCCACTCATTCATACCCTGTATGCACCACTGATTTGACTGGTCCTCAAACCCCATATGTATTATTGGTTTTCTTTACATTTGTGTTCCAATAAATCACTTCTACTGGCACTAAAAGATGGTTCTGACTCCCCTTTTTGTTACCAGCTTGTGACAAAATCTCCCTTGTTTTTTTATGGCCTTATATTCTAACCCATGTTGATTTCACATATGTAAACGGCAAACTGTATGATAATCTAACAGGGCAATCACTTGATTTTTCTGCAGTCTTGCATGCTTTTCTTTTTTACTGTACAACATGTGAAAAGGCATCTAGTGTTCAAGTTAAACACTAGAATAACATTACTTTCATGCCAAATTAAACTGTTAAACAGCTCGCCTCTTTTCTCTGACCTCGTTAGTTTTACAAACACTGCTAAAATTTTTCTCTGACCTCGTTAGTTTTACAAACGCTGCCAAAATTTTCTTCTTAACCATAATGTGAAAGCCACATGGATTTCTTGAATATACAATTTATTTCTGAAGTTTTACTATCAAAAAACATCAGGGTCTTAAGTGGCTTTCCACCAACTGTGTGTGTGCTGTGTGTGCGCGTGGTGACCTCTTGGTTCTCTCCAGGTCATCGTTGGCCTGCTCTAGCTCTCTGATGTATTTATGAAGATGGTCTCTGATGGCTGTGGTCTCAGCCAGGTCTCCCTCCAGGCTGGAGATCTGCCGGCAGGCCTCAGAGTGCTGCACCTCATACTTTTCCTGGCAGAAGGTTGAGCACAGTGTCAGCACAAGCGAGTACAAAGGACAGAATATGAAGAAAAGACTAAACATGAACGCTGGCGGGCAGAAAGTGACTAAACTCTGAGAAACAATGCAGAAACTCTTTCAAAGATGCAACAGAATTCACTTAAATTTCATAACAGAACTCTTACATCTCCTCAAACGTCCCAGCATTTCATTAAAACCAAAAACCACCACAAATCACGATCTTAATGATTAAAAGAGCTGATGACAGCTGTGCTATTAGCCAGTCTAAAAACATAGTGTCTGACAGTTCCTTCCCAGAAACAACACAGAATGTGCACCAATGCGACTAAGCTGACCCATAGTACGATCACGGTCACTCGGTTCACTCCGTTACTGGTCTGCTTGTACGGTAAACCCACTTCCTGAGGCAGCCCACTTCACTTCACTGAGGTTTTCATGGCACTGAGCAGGCTGAAATGCTACGCTGGGGGTAGAGGCGATTTACTACTCAAAAGAAGAGAAGGCTTCTGGTTACTTACCTTACATACCTAGTGTCTCAAGGGGACTGCATGATGAACTTGTTCTTAATATAATGTTAACATTTATTTAACACTGCTCCAGGGTTCAAGGATTAGGGCTGGTCTTAGGGATCTTAAACAGTTCCAGGGTGGGGCACAGTTCCTGTAGTATTATGGCAATAACTAGCTTTTATAAATATCCTTTGTACTGAGCTTCCAGGAGGCACGGTGACGCTCACAGGTAGAAGTGGCAGGAACAGAGCACATGTGTCATGTAGCATGACACTGTAAAACTTCAGCACACCCCAACTACATTCCATGAATCCATTACTCTGCACATTGTACATGCATTCTAGAAGATAACGCCCTTCACTGCTCCGACAGTGAACACTAACCTTGTCAACTGATGTCATACAGTTCTGAATCACTGTTTTCAAAATACCTCAGCTGAATTTTAACAGTATCTCCATCACATTTAGACCACAACCTAAAAGTACATTCAGACCTGAGACCAAAATAATTTACCCAATATCAAAGTCTATTTACTTAACATTCCTAAGTTTTTTTGCTGTGTCACTGAGTTACTGTAGGTTTCGAGAGTCAGGTTGTGTTTGAGCTGTAGAAGCAGATGCCTCTTTGGCTGAAATAGCCCTCTAGATCTAGACCAATAAAATAAACTGTTGTGTCATTATCTTCATTAAAATGTATTAACACAAGAGCACTGAAATAAATGCTGATGCTGTGTTTTTTCTGATACCGTTTATATACATTTCTATCATTAGGTTAGACAAAGTGTTAGAAATGTCTCTCAATACAACAGCATTACAAACTGCAGTCTCCAAAATAGTCAAGTACTGCAGGACTATGGTGTTAATAAATTGGTAACCAAGTGAAATTAGTAGTTCTACTGTTGCTGCAGCAGAAATTGAACCAAATTTTAAAATTATTCAAGGGAAACCAACTCTGGGCCAGGACAGAATCCACAGAGTGCCTGCCCCGCTTGAGACCTGCAGATGGCATGCAAAGTTAAATATAATCTAGCCCACATGCTACAGCAAAACAAGCCTCATTTTTCCTGCAGCATGGCTTAATTGTCCCCTGAATGTTGAAGGAAAGTGCAAGGCACATGATGAGCATCTAAGGGAGCTGCACAACCATGCATTATGACAATTTGTAGAGCCAGTGTGCCCAAAGCAATGACATCACTTTCAGCCTGCACAGCCTTGCACAGGGCACAATGCTCAAGGCATAAACAAAGCTTTAGCACTGAAATATGTAGCAACCGGTTCCTATAAACTTCATCTATTCTAGGTATTTTTGGAAGTGACATTTTAAGCCTTTAGATTTTTTTTTTTACTGAGCTACTGCCCTTCAAAATGCCATTGGCACTGCACATCCCTGTTATGTTCTCAATAAAGGACAAACACTTTTGTTTGACAGAAAGGAAGACATTGAACTGTGACATTATTGGACTGGGTCTTATGGGAAGTACTGCCATCCCCTCAAGACACAGACCAAGCAGACGTCATCAGCTGCCTTTTTTGTGCCCTGAATCTGCCCTCTGTGAAAGGCTGCTTGTTCAGACAAGAGCATCAGTGAAACCTATTCAACACAAAAGGGAGTTCTAAAACCCAACTACTATCAGCTGATGAACATGGAAATCTTCAGTCAAATCCACTTTAACGGGCAGCCAGTTTGTTGAATGTTATCAAACTAACTGCAACCCTGGACAAATGTGACATAGCAGCTTTATGCTTCAGCACAGACTCTTATTACAAGCCCCTTTTACACAAAGATTGTGGAAAACTGCCAGAATTTTGGCCCTTCAAGGCAGCTTTTTTTTATTTTTTATTTAAGCTCTTTTACAATGGATTTTAAAAAGTACTGATAATGTTTTCCATACCTTGTAGTTTTCTAGCTCCATGCGGAGGCGGTTGTTAGCAGAAAGAAGTTCACGGTTTCGCGCCTCACACTGTTTTAATTCAGTCTCCAGCTCCACCTCATATTCCCGACTCATCTGCTGAAACTCCTGCAGCTCCTCCTGAGCTTCCTCCGCCCTGCAGAAAGTAGTAACAACTATCAGTTGCCACAATATTTTAAACTATGACTCAGTCTTATTACTTTGGACCATTGAGTTTTAATACAACTCTCACTTATGTCTGGGGTAGAACAATCAAACCAAACATTGTCCAAGTAGGTTTGCCAAAATAATTCTAAACCCAACCTATTTGAAAAACATAACATGAGCATATTCCCACAAAACCACAGAGAGCACTGGGCATTACAGGTTAAACACAAGAGCCCATACATCACAGAAATGTGTTTAATAGGAAGACACCTAGACGTTCACAGTATTTTGTATTGCAGGAGTGTCCACAGAATATCAAATGAATAGAAAAGCAGTAACAGCAAATTATCATTTTTTCAGAATCTACAGAATCAGTATGAGACACCAGAGCATGCTTTTAACAACTGTCTCCAATAAAGTCAGGTTGTTGTTTTTTTAAAGCACCAATACTTGTACTGTCCTTCAAGATCAGCAAAAAACACAACTCTGCAGGGAAATTAACAAAGACATTTATTCTCATATCATGATAGTGTCCCAGCTTTTTTATGGCCACAGAGTTAAACCATTTGAGCACTTTGACATCTTTTAAGTGAAAGAAACAGTGAATGTTGATTCTGCTGTGTTAAAACCAATATAAAGTGGGGGCACACCTCTGTTGGTGCATTACAGCTTGTTCCTTCCAGTACTGCAGCTCTTCCTCCAGGGACCCAAACTGTGGAGGCTCCGGATCCCCCATCTCCAGCCCAGATGTGGAAGTGGAGGGCTGACTCCTCTGTCACACACCAATACTAGGCTGTGTTTAATTTAAAAAGGGAAAATGCCACTCAGAAAAGTTCCATCTCTAGACAATTTATGGGTAACGTTAAACCTATCAATGGAAAATCTGAATCCATCAAGGGACATGATTTCAGGCGATTCACCAGGATTTCCGGGTTAATTCGGCAAATGGGTGAACCACCATGGACCCTCTCATTTCAGATAAAATCTCAGCTACTTTAATTTGGTCGTCACCGCAACACGTTAACGTGCGATTAACTTAGACAACGGAAAAAAACAGGCGAATATGTTTCAAACAACAACAGATAATGTTTCTTTGAAAATTACATGTATGCCGAACTAAATAACAGAAACAATCGATTCATAAGACATCTTTGACATTAGTCATTATCAATAGAACGTAACTCAAGCTACTCCTGAATTAAAATAGTTTCAAGAGTTACATCAAGGCTGGCCACAGCGAGCTGAACTAAGAAACAGGAACCTAAAGAAGCGTCACCTCAAAGTTAACGGGTCGTTTATATCGTCATGCGGTTTACTATTTGGAACACCTGCTTTGATAAACATTAGAGGATTCGTTCAAACTTGTATCTTCCAATGTCAAACCACATGCCTTCAGAAAGTTAGTAAAATGGAATGACCCTAGCTTGTAAATGCAAACAAGTTCGCCACTTCAGCTAACGGAGTTCAGCGTTAACCACTTAAATCCCAGCTAATATAAAAACATTAAACTACGGCGATGACTTACGGTCAACAACAAACTTCATTCGACGTAATGTTAACCACCTAACTCCTGTTCTAATTCCTCTTCGTGTTCTGACTTTACTATTTAAAAAGTTTGGCGATGAAATTTGAAGTCGCAGTGGAACAAGAAAATTATTAGAGAACTTGCCTGAAGAAGAAATCTCAAAGTTGCTCTTGCCTTGGGAAAACGTCGAACAATACACGCTGCCATTCATATTGTACAGACAATCCACCAATCACAAGTTAGATGCCTATGTGTTGCCTATTACTATTGGTCAATCGTCTGTCAATCAACATTAATTAGGTGGGATTAAGATTAATGTCCAACCAGAGTGGATATCTCATTCTAAGAGGCGTATATGCGTATTCTGAATGGTCTTGACTTTTTGATGGATTACCGGAGCCTACTACTCCTTGTGTTGTAAGAAACAAGAGGCTGTGATAATATGTTAAAAACCATTCTTAAATTAAGATTCTCATATTAAGATAAATACTGAAATTAATCGGCACTTGCTTTTTGAGCTGTGTGAAGCTTAATCATATTAATTACAGGTATTTTAAGTATAAGCATAAACTTTATTGCCAAGTATCTCAAGAACACAAGGAATTTGACTCCAGCTCAGCTCATACATAAATACAGCTTAAACATACATAATATAAAAGTTTGACAAACAGATGTACTGTAAAACAATTACTATTTTTGTTTCTCAACTGATCTTAATTTTAGATTATACAAAAAATGTTTCTATTGCAATCTTGTAAATAAAATAAATAAAGCTAAATAAACCTTTAACACCATGAGTAGCTTCAGTTGTTGTACTGTATCTTTCAATGAATTTGGGAGTGAGACTAAGCTCCGACTGGGTTGAATGTTTGTGGTAGAGTGAGACTAATATTCTCTCCATTATTAGACCTGGCTCTGTATCTGGTCACTACCAGTACAAACAGTACTGATTGTGCTTTTAATGGCACCTGACAGAATCTTTAACTCTTATTGGGGAATTTTACTTCATGTTGGTGATGTCAGACTCTATTCTTTTCAGAGGGATTAAGCAAGCCTATCTGATCCTGGTTAATTCACATGTACCATCACATGAGCGTAAAGCTGCTATAAACACACATACACAACCTCCACTCCACTCTGTCCTTGCTTCATATCTCCGCTACATGTTGTCAGAGACTTGACAGCAGATTTCAAACATGTTTCTCAGACCTTGATTTGGTTAAAGAAGTATTTCAGTATTTTGAGAATAACTTTATTTGATTTCATGCAGAAAGAGGGATAAGAAGATGGATATCAATCTCATGTTAGCACTATACAGAGCTGGAGGCAGGATGTAGTTAGCCTAGCAGGGGGAAATATACACCTACCAGCACCTCTAAGGGGTTCTGGGGAGTCATAAAGGTTTGGGGCAACTGTCCAGGAGCCCCTGACCTTTTGTTTGTTTAGCAACCTACTGACAGTGCTACAGTCTCAAGGCTTAACTCTGGCACAGTTTCCCCATCAAATCTCATTGAAATCTATCATCACATCATCACATCCACTGTATCCAGCAGAACAGGAGAGAGCTGTTCAGGTTATTTTAGTTTACTGTGTGGCCCCTTGTCAAAAGAATATAGAAGTGTTCACAGAACAAAGAAGCATCCTATATCTGAAAATTTAATATAATGCAACAAAATTGCTGAGGATTTCAGTTAGCTGTAAACAATTCATAATATCATAATTTGGACTTTCATACAAAGTATTTTGCTGTATTTTGGAAATACTGTATAATAAATAAAAGCCACATTTTTTCAGCTTCACAAAAGGATAATTTAAAGAAAGTAAATTAGGGGTCTGATTTAAGTAAGTGCCATGTTACATGTTAAGATATCTGGGCTTGATCTTTTCAAGTATGAGGACAGGGTTATGATAACATAGCTTCACTCTTCGAACTAGGAGTTATAGTCCTGCAATACTTGACTGTTTTGGAGACTGTTGTTATAGTTGGTGTGCTAATCTTAAGATCACTGATTCCATTGGGGAGCCGTTCAAGCATTTTGGGAAAGATACTTATTCACCTTTTTGCTGAGAGTTAGATGAGAGGGTCAGTACCACATCAGCATGTTATCTTAGCTTAGTTACCAACAGAGGCTTAATTTCCTTTTTTGTTTGCACAAAAATAAAAAGTAAAAGGTTTCTGGGGTTTTACAGGATACTATGTGAACTTTGGTGGTGCTGAATAGGTAAGCTTTGATACCTTTGGACGCAGCCACGCTATTTTTCTATTGCCCTGTCAAATAAAGAAACAAATAAATTACTTAATAAATAAATTTGTTGTCTTTATGCTAAGCTAAGCTAATCACCTGCTGACTCCATTCGACTTTCCAACAAAAAATGTTACATTCATACTTCATACAGAAGCTCTAGTCCAGGGGCCCCTTGCTCCCTTGGTCCCAGAGTATGTGTGGTTTTTTTTAATTAGATTTTTCTGCGCGGAAACCTGGCCAGGTCACCTGTGTAGAAAACACTAGTTGCCAAAGGCGATGCGAAGCTTTGGTCCAACAGGAGTTTGCGGAAAACCATCCCAGCAGACTTTCCAGGGAAACGCCGTTCCGGGGCTCGTAGCCAGAAGGAATTATTAATGTTTCCATGAAAACTGGTTGCCACGATGGCCATGTTGCGTGTGTGTTGCCAGTCCATGCACTCCTTCTGAGCTATGAGCTGATGCACCAGGTCACCGCCGGCAAATAAGCACAGGAGGACGCAATCTATCTGTGCGCGGTAATCTGGGAGGGATTAGACGGTTCCACTGGCAG